TATTCCGTTTTATTACATAACTGACCCTGTCATATGAATAGGGAAGTGAAATTTTTTTTCTTCAAAATTCGTGTCAAAGTTAAAAAAAAGTTATTCCTATTTGGCTGATAGTTCCACATCTTCAGACAACAGTGTAAGTGGACTTGTTAGGTTTCTTTCATAGAGATGAAGAAAAGCATAACTTTTGTACTGTAGAACTTACATCGACCAAATTCAGTGTTCTCCTCAGGCCAATATAAGATTGGCTAGCGGTCCTTAGACCTATAAGTCTTAGGACTCTCCTATATTTCTGGTCCATGGTGAAATAATTTTCCGTTAAAAAAATTGTATATCGGTAAAATTTTACTTGTTAAATCTTATCCTTGTAGTATAAAATTCAAGGTGAAATTTAACCAACACCTTGATTGTAATTGATTTACCAGGAGGAATAGTTGTACTGAACTTAGGGTGCCATATGGTTATTTTCAATAATTTAATTTTTCAGTTGTTATTCTGGTGTCCAAAGTTGGATTGATTGATTGATTGACTGGTGTTTAACACCACTTTCAGTACTGTTGTGCTATTTCGTGATCACATGTTCGTGATATAATAAAAACTACCAATCCAACACGCATCGTTTTAGTTTTATTTTAGACTTGCTAAAATTCCCTTTGTTTTATTTCTTTCTTACTAATTTATATGTTTACTGAAAACTGCCAGTATACTGATTGCCCTTGCAGATGTCAGTATAATCATGATAATGGTAATCTCTTAGTTATAGCAGTAAAATTGTTAAAGGGGCAAAATTGAAAAAAATAATAAGGAAGGGACATGTAGCAAGTCTAGTTTTATTTCATCATATTTCATCACATTAAGACACAAAAATTTACATGCATCCTGGACTCATCAAAATCTATTGGGACTCACCATTTCTAAAAGTGATGAGTCCCAGGACTCACTTTGAAAAATTCCTAGTGAGAACCCTGTTACCATGTTTACTGGATGAGGTAGGTATGATGAGTCTAAGTTGTAAGCTTGTTAGAAACTAGCACATTAAAACTTTATTCAGCGTGTTGGTCATGAACAAAGCAAGGTTCATAATCATGAACATAATTTTTGCCTTCTATATAATATTTTGTGTAAAAAATCATCCTAAGATGATCAAAGATTGAAGCTTCTCATAAAACTCACTAAATCACCTTTTCATAAATTCCCATTATAGATGCATTTACTTTTCTCAATTATTCCATGGAGACATGCTTAAGGTGGCATATAGATATACATACATCTTCTCAGACATTGATACTTTAAAAAAGGATACATATTTTAAAGGAACTTAAAACCTGGTATCAACTTTGACAACAAATGGTATAGTTGTTGAGAAAAGTGTGTAGGATAGCGGAAATCAGAACAGTTCAAAAAAGGTGTTGATACATATACTTTTATTATACAACTGCATCTGCGGCAGTATGATGGTATGGTGATCATGATGTCGTCGTCCCAAGACATTTTGGTTTCCAGACAATAACTTGAGTATAAGTGTATGGATCTCTATGAAATTGTAGCACATGGTGCCATACCACAAATGGAAGGTTGGGATTGATTTGGGGGTTATGGCCCTAATCATTTAGGAAGTAGGGCCCAAAACAAGCATTTTATAGAACTTTGTATAAATTTCTCATTTCTTGACCAATTTTAATGGGATTCTTTAAAATGCTGAATCTAACTGTGTTTTTCAATTTTTTTATTTTGGTCCTCTCAACTATATATATTAAGGAAACTAAACAAAGATCAACTGAGAGAGAACAAAAAATAATTTTTTGATATTAGCATGATTAGTGTTGTCTTAAAAGTTTGGTAAATATCACTTTTGTTGCTTCTCAAGAATTTTTCATAAATATGATTTTAAATGAGAATCATTAACCAACCCTAAAAAAATAAGGGAAATAAACATATCAAGTAATGTTTTTTTTTAATAATTTAATAATATATAAATGTAGTTATAGTTTTCATTTTTTTTTTAATTTTCTGCTCACTCAAAGGCCTGCTGGATGTTAATTAGTAAACAAATTTAAATAACAAAGCTGTTTGTTACGTATGAAAAGCTGAAAGGTAAATTTTCAAATGAAATGAACAACCTGTGAAATAAAAATATTTGTACAATATCTTGAAAATTATCAATTAAACAAAAGTTACCATCATTAGAATAATGTTAAATATCCTTTTCAGATGCGGATTCAGAGGGGGCAAGGGGCCCTAGCCCCCTTTAAGGAGATGCATATACGGTTAATGCGAAGACTTTTTACATATTCGACTTGTAATGTTGACTTGTTCCCCCCCTTTTCAAAATCTTTGAACCACATCTGCTTGTTATCATGGTTATAAATCTGCATGTGTGCCAGACCAACCTTTGTGAGACTTTTGTCGAAAAAACGAGACATAGCGATCCTACATTCCCTCGGCGGCATCCACAAATATTCACTCTGTGGTTAAAGTTTTTGAAATTTTAATAACTTTCTTAAACTATCCTGGATTTCTACCAAACTTGGAAAGAAGCTTGTTTATGATCATAAGATAGTATCCAGAAGTAAATTTTGTAAAAAAAAAAATCCATTTTTTCCGTATTTTACTTATAAATGGACTTAGTTTTTCTGCCAATTAACATTTCATTCACTCTGTGGTTAAAGTTTTTAAAATTTTAACAACTTTCTTAAACTATCCTGGATTTGTACCACACTTGGACAGAAGCTTGTTTATGATCAAAAGCTAGTATCTAGAAGGAAATTTTGATAAAATTTTGTTCCATTTTTTACGTATTTTACTTATAAATGGACTTAGTTTTTCTTCCAGTCAACATTACATACAGTCTGCAGTTCAAGTTTTTAAAACATTTATTAGATTCATAAATTATCCTGGATTTTTACCAAACTTGGACAGAAGCTACTTACAATCAAAAGATAGTATAGAGAGGAATATTTTTATTAATTTTTTTCCTCATTTTTGTTGAGCCTGCGATTAACAGCAAAAGTAGGCGAGACACTGGGTTCCGCGCAACCCTTACGAATTTTTCCTGTTTGAGATACATTTGAATATATATCTCAGATGTTACAAATAATGTATCAGCCTTTGGGCCACTATATTTGGTGAATGGAATGATTTTCATGGTTCATTAATCAAAGTTAAGTTTCCATGGTTTTAGACATTTCAGCGCTCTTGTTTCTTATGTAAGTGAAAAAGTATTATTTTCTTTTTTTTAGCTCACCTTGCCCAGCTTTTGCTATCAATTGGCGTCTGTCTTCCATCTGTCACAATAAACTTTCAAAAAAATATTCATCTCTGAAACTGCTGGACTAACAGTTACCAAACTTTAACTTAATGTTCCTTTGGAAATCTAGTTCAAAATAATGTCTACGGATTTGATTTGATCCATTAACAACCATGGCTGATGTATTTCTGTTGCTAAAAATAAAACATAGGTTAATATGTAGTTTTGGCTTATATCTCAAAAATTAAAGCAGTTAGACTTAGAGCAAAATTGACAAGGTCAAAATGTTAAACAGGCTCTAGGTCTATCTCTTGTGTAATTTTCAGGAAAAAAGCAGACAACCAATTTTGGAGTAATTGTCCTTGAAATGTTGATATTTAACAAATTTTGAAGTTTTTGGTTGTTAACTGAAAGCTATAATATGATGGTTACCCTTTTTGCATTTTTTGGGTAAAGATTGCATGAAATGCATCAAAACCCTATGGTACTGACTTGATATCTAAATCTTCCAAGGTTTATCACTACCTTTGAGATACACAAAATATAGTGCATTGATCATAACATTCTATACATCCTATCCATGAACATTTCCAGAAATTTATCAATGAAATATATGCTCAGATATTCAAGTTACAAAATGATGTTATACTTGTTGAGAAAATATTTTATTTTTTCAAGGTGCAGGAATCTAATATCTGTTCTAAAAATATCAATGATGTCATTGTTAAAGTAATCTTTAAAAAAAAATTGGAGTTATCTTCCTTTGTCCAGAATTGTAGTTGAATCAACTACTGTGCACCAGTACTTTATACAATGCAATATTTAATTCTACTTCCCACTGATAAATTAAAGCAATCTTTACCCTTCAGTGCTTACAAGCACTTTGATTGTTGATATGTTAGTAGATACAGGGAATCTTTCAAAGTAAAAATGTTCAGCAAAATAAGATCTTCAATATTTCAGCATGGACCAAATCATCAATTGACACAATATAGGAGTTATTGCCCTTGAAAGACAATTTTTACCAATTTTTTTAAGAAACTATAATCAAATGATAATAGATATATAGAGAAATTGCTAAAAGAAAAAAAATTTAAGCAAAATTTGATCTACAATTTATAAGTCAATATATGCATGGTATGGTTGAATTCATCAATTGAACCCTTTTAGAACTTGTTGAAAAATCTAGGTGATTTCTCCACTTTTCAGAAACCATAACTATAGTAGAGAAACTATTTATATATATAGATAGCAAATAATAGTCAGTAATGAAAGATCTACAAATAATGTCAACATGGCTGAAATTGCAGTTGACAGACCTTTTCTAAAAGACGAAAGATGATGTATACACAATTTTGCAATTCTAATCCATAGCTAGAGAGCAAACATTTTCAACAAAAATAAGATTTACTATTTAGAGTCAACATGGCAGAAATTGTCAATACCCCTTATAGAAGTTATTGTCCTTAAAATGTGGTTTTACCAATTTTTGAATTTTTTGCAGAAACCATAACAGATGGAGAGAAATTGTAAATAGCAAAGATTGATGTTAAGCATGTAATCATTTAATGATTTTTTTGCAGAAACCATAATCAGTGATAATAACAATATGTAGAAAAATATTATCAGCATTACAAGATTATAAACAAAAAAAGAGATTTTAGTCATGAATTAACTTTTCTACATTGTCAATTGTTGAAGATGTACATAGACCTAGGGAAGCTAATGTTTCAGTTATTTATTGTTTTATTTTCAGGTTCATTTTTCTGACCATAGCGTTATCTACATTCTTTGTCATGTTTGTGTATGATGAAGCACAAAGGATACAAAATGTTGACAATGTACAGAAACATAGGTATGGAATATTGAAAAAAATCTTACTGAAAAATCTTACAATATATAAAGATAAACATGTGACATATATATTTGATTCCAACATCCCTTATTTTTCAGAAATGGAGATTTAATCTTTTGTGAGTCTGTACTTTTGCATTTATCTGGATGTTTTGTCCTAAGAATATTTCCTTGGTAATTTTCTTTATAATATTTAAATATATTATTTAATAACCGTGTAACCTGATAGGGAATAAAGTCATTAAAGATGAAACAGGATCTCAAAGTTTTATGGGAGTAATGTTACACAACGATAATGTCAAACACAAAATTTTCTTATTTATAAACAAGAACATAGTGTAACTATCGATGGACATGAACCTCAATTTAGCAACTCTAAACATTGCTACAAATTAATGATTCATGATTCATGATTTATCATTATTCATGTTATAATAGTGTTTATTTTAAAGTGTTATTTGTAATAATGAGGCAATCAAGTGATTTCTTTTAAGGTGCAGGATGATTTGGAAATGAATATGCTGGCCTTGCTTTTCCTCAAGCCTGCAACATTTTGTCATGGAAGCATGACATAGTGATCCTACATTCCGTCTGTGGTGGTGTTAACATTTAGGTTCACTCTGTGGTTTATGTTTTTTTAGACATCAATAAATTTATCAAACCTTCTTGAAATTTTAGGACACTAGGATGGAAGGTTCTTTATGATATAGTGATAGTATCCAGTGCAAATTATTTTTTACTTCAGATCACTGTAGTTTACTGATAATTGACTTTTTTTGTCCTTAAGATTCAGTTAGTACACTCTAAGATTAAAGTTTTTCAGAAATCAAAAGCTCTGTAAATCCTTCATTGAATTTAATGAAACTTGGACAGAAGCTTTTTATGATCAAAAGACAGCTAGTAGCAAAAATCTGAAAAAGTTTTCAGTTAACATTTTTATTCAATGTATTCATACAGTTTGGGATTGAATTTTTTAGACATCGATAACATGCTTAAGGTAGGTGGGGTGTCTTCCTCCTTCTTGGATTTTGAAATAGCAGATAACAATCTGTCTAGATCTTTAATGAAATGTGCAAATTTCGAGAGTAGTATGTAATTCATGTGTAAGACTTTTCATATTAAGGTGGTACATAACACTACAGGGAGATAACTCTGTAAAAATCAGCTGAACGTTTTAATCACGTTCTATTGTTAAGGAAATACTAAGCTTCTCAATGATCAAAATTAGTGTTTGTCAAACTGCTATATATTCAATGAAAAGTGTGTGGTTCAAGTTTTTTGAAATTTTTATATTTTTGTCAAAGGGTAAAAGTAAACATGGTAAATATTTTGTCAAAATTTTATGAAAATTAAACGAGCCAAATTAATTTTAGTCAAGGTGTTGGTACCACCACCATTATATAGAAAATTATGTTTTATCATATTTACAGCTGTATATTACAAAAAAAAGAATATTTTTGTTTGATTCATATTTTTTCAACTTTGTCATATAAGGGGAGATAACTCAGATATAAAGGTGGATAACTCTTTTAAAGTAACTTTTATAATAGAATGTGTTGTAAATTTACCTATTTTATTATGTAGCAAGAAAACGGGTCCGGTGACCCAATTTTTTCTTTTTCTTATGTGAAAGCATATCATTAGAGCTATCTCCTCATATTTTACCTTAAAATTCTATGGTGTAGTTTTCTTTTTATCAAACAATTGGGTTTTCCATGCATTATCTATACAAAATCTGACAATTTTGCACAAACCCTGTGACCCATACTTTTTATTATATTTTTGAAAAAAGCATGATATAAACTACATTTTGACAAATTATTAAAAAATTCTATGGATTTTAATTTAGACCCCCCATCTACCTTAACCCTAATAAAATGTTATGAAACTTGTTTTTGGCAGTCAACAGAATTGGCAGGGGAGAACAGGGTTCTTTGAAACCCTTTACTAATGTTTTCAATATTTCACAGACAAATGGACCTTTTTGGCAGTTAACAATAACACACTGTCTGGTGTTAACATCTTCTTTTAGCTTTTTAGTTGAATGATGCCTTTACAGGTTTATATATATATAAAAGTAAGTTAATGCATGTATTTACCTCTCTTCACTGTAAAAGTACTTTTTTTTGCGGTGCCAATTTTTGTTTGCAAATTTCTGTGGTGATATGGTGCTTTATCAGCATCATCTGTAGAAGTGTGCTATAACTATTTCTTTCCAATTTGAATTTTAAGTCATTGTTCTATGACAGAAAAGAAACCTACATGACCTAAGGCTTGTACTGGATTTTTATGCCCCCGCCGTAGCGTTTTCGTTCTCTAACTTGAGTTTGCCTCAACCAAATGTTATGAAACTTATACACAATGCTTATTACCGCAAAACACAGATCAAGTTTGAATTTTGGTGGCGTCACTTTAACCGTTCTAGAGTTATGCCCCTTTATAAATGGAAAAATTGCAAAATTTTTATTTTCCGTTCTCTTACTTAAGTTTGCCTCAACCAAATGTTATGAAACTAATTATACACAATGCTTATTACCACAAAACACAGATCAAGTTTGAATTTTAGTGGCGTCACTTTAACCAATCTAGAGTTATGCCCCTTTATAAATGGAAAAATTGCAAAATTTTTATTTTCTTCTAAATATCAAGTAATTTTTAAAATTGGAGTTATCTTCCTTTGTCCATGATTATAGTTGAATCAACTACAATCAATGCTTTATACAATGCAATGTTTAATTTTGATTTCCACTGATAAAACACAGATCAAGTTGAATTTGGGTAGTGTCACTTTAACCATTATTGAGTTATGCCCCTTTATAAAATGAAAGATTGCAAAATTTTTAGGTTCCATTCTGTAACTTTAGTTTGCCCCAACCAAACATTGAGAAACCTATACACAATATTCATTACCACAAAACTAAGATAAAGTACAAATTTTTTGTTTCCGTTTTTCTAACTTTAGTTTGCCTCAACCAAATGTTATGAAACTTATACACAATGCTTATTATTACATAATACAGATTAAGTACGAAATTTGGTGGCGACACTTTTACCTTTCTTGAGTTATGTCCCTTTATAAACATAAAAATTGCTGAATTTTTCGTTTCCGTTCTCTAACTTTAGTTTGTCTCAACCAAATGTTATAAAACTTATACACAACCGTTCTAGAGTTATTTTTTATTGAAGCGAATAAATTATCATTCCTCTGATAGTTAGAATTATTTTATTTCAGGAATGACAGTAATATTTTTTTGTCTATGAAGAAATAACATCAAAAATGTGCATGGTGCACACTGAATATTCAACATTTAGGTTATTTCGAATAGACAGAAAAAAATATTACAGTCATTCCTTATAATTTATTTCTAAATTCCATTTTAAAGAGTAAATCATGAAAAAAACGTTGATGACGTCATGGTCACATGACAAAATTATGTCTATGAGCTGATAGACAAAACACTTTCAGCCAATCAGAAGACGTGTTACATCCAAAATTAAACTATTGTGTGATAATGTGAATCACTTGATATCATTTGGGGCCATTTTCGGTGCAAGAATAAAGATTGAGGACTAACGTTCAGGCTAGACTTATTGCTGCCATCTAACATGAAAGGAAGCTAATACTGCTTGTGCATTAGACCTGAAAGTGTTTGGTATACATGGACACTTACAACCATTAAAACAATGTCAACAGAACTTTGAAAATTTGGAAATTGATTGCAAAAACAGTTGATTCTTTTTTTTATCTTGTCTACAATAGGTCAGGAAGGAGAGACGAAGTGATCCTGCAGTCAATAGTCATAGGCTCTAGTGAGTGTCGTCAATATTTAGGTTTAGTTTGTGGTTAAGTTTTTTTGAAACATCAATTTAAAACTTGGTCAAACTTTTAATAAAATTTAATGAAACATGGTCAAAAGTTTTTCATGATCAAGAAACAGAATCCCGAGAAACTTTTATTTAAATATCCTTTTTTTTTTAAATTTTCCTATTTTACTGATTATTTAAAAAAAATTGCATGCACTTACATTTTAACTACAATATGGGTTTAAAGTTTTAAAACCTTTTCAAAGCTTGGACAGAAAATTCATCATAATCAAGAGATACATTTTGTAAGCTATATCTCAAGCAAATTTTTAACAAACTTTTTTTTATAGAAACTCTCATGACTGTTTGATTAGAATCTTCCAATCATCATCAGTGGTCTGATTGTTTCCCAAATAAAGTCAAATCAGCATTAATTCAAGGTTTCTGATACAAGGTTTCCAATGGGGAGGGGGGCAGGGTACCCAAAATTATTACTTTTAGATTTAGTAAACTTAGTCTTTGGATGTGAATAAAAGGATATGTGGGGTATCATGACAATAAGTCAGCAACCCAACAACAAAATCAAATGACATGGAGAATTCTATGTACTGTAACAGTCTTTATTTATATACCTGTATATATATAGACTCTGTCCCAATAGACAGATATCAATATTTGCAGTTTCTTTTTTAAAAAAAAGGTACACCTTTATATCTCTTTTGCCAATTGTATTTTTAAATCAAACATTTGTCCTGGTTCTTATAGTTTTGAAAAAAAACATATCTGTTAAAGGTTGCAAAATACATGTAGGCAGGTTCCCCAAAGTACCATTTGTTTACTTTTTGGTGTAATTATAACGATAAATTCATCAATGTGCCAGAGATTTCATCAACACAGTTAGTGAAACTTTTAGTTTTAATACAAAGCTATTGCCACCATATTACTGAGTCTGCTACTCTATCCAACACATTACTAATATATATGTAAAGCTCAATGGTCAATAGAGTGGCCACATTGACCTTTTAACGATGTCCTTTTGCTGTACGGTTCCATTTATTTTTTGTTGAACATAGTCAGTTATAGAAAAAATTCAAGTTACTGTACTTTGTGCATTTGTGGTTAAAGATAACTAGGAAATCATCTTAAGTTGGTATCCCACAGATAGAAATGCTTTTACAGTGCATCATGTTTTATGTTCACCATAAACAAATATTTGTTTGCATGTTTTGTGTATTGGAAAGTTATCTGCATGGGTGAGTGTTTTTTAGCTATTGTCATCACTTAGCATCTATCATTGTCATTGTCGTTGTAACCTAAAAAAAATGATACTATTGAACAAATTTCAACCAACTTTGGGTGAATGATTCTTATTGTGTCTAGTATAAAGTTTGTACTTTTTATTCCACTCTTGTCAACAAACATGGCCGCCATGGCTAAAAATAGAACATAGGGGTAAAATGCAGTTTTTAGCTTAAATCTAAAAAAATAAAACAGTTGAAGCAAAACTGATGGGAAAGAAATGATCAGCAGGTCAAGATCAATATGTGATAAAATTTTCAGACCAACCAGACAATCCAGTTTGGAGTAAATGTTCCTGAAGTAATAGTTTTTATGAAATTTCTCAGTTTTCTGTTGTTATCTTGAAAACTATTATACATTTGTAGATAAGAAGAAATTTTAAACAGCAAAAATGTTCAGCAAAGAATGACCTACACATATATAATACTTAAACGAAATTGTCAATTGATCCCTTATTTGAGTTATTGCTCTTGAAAGATAATTTTTACCGAAAATGTTTGATTACTTTTTCATAGAAACTATCATCATGATAGATAGACAGAAATTTCAAACAGCAAAAATGTGAGCGATTCAGCCTCTTTTGAACCTCTCGTTTCACAGTTGATCATGTCTATAGAAGGACCTTAAACTACTTTACTTATTATACACCTGTCAAAAACAGACATATTCTATTGTTGTGCCTCTATCCCTGCATGTTGCACACTCTGACACTGAAATAGACCTTAACCATGTTTACAATGTACTTTGAATCTACTAAATTATTGAGAATTATGGTCTGAGGTTCTTTATATAATTTGACAATTTTCAGTTTTGTTTTTCCAAAGTTATATGCTTTATCTTACAAAATAACTAACAGTTCATATTTGATAAATATTCATTGCATCTCCTTGTTCATTTAGTATAACCTGAATGCAATATCAATTCTAAATGACAATTTAACTTTTTGCTATTAACATGATCAAATCTGAAAGTTAAGTGTTACAGATCCATTTTCAGAAATACAAATAAGAAATCTGATAAACAAACTCTTTTTTTTTCTTCAAAATACCCTTTTGTGAAAATTTGGTGAATGTTGAAGACATTTTAAAAATTTTGCAACCAAACTTGACCACAATAATTCTCAGAATGTACAGTTTTAAAAATGAGTCTGAAGAACATGTCAGCCAACCAACAACAGCTGTCATGGATAAAAATAGAACACAGGGGTTAAAAATCAGGTATTATCCATATATAGAAAACTGTTTTAGAAGGAGAAAATCTGGCAGGATATAAATGTTAATAATGTCAAGATTAATCTACTGCTTCTTACTACAAATTGTCAGACAACTTTCTATAGTTTTATTGCCCTGAAATGAAAACTTTGTTATATATCTAGAAAACTATATTTAAAAAATAGACTGAAAATTTTTTTTTAAGCCTATTTGTAAACTATTAATGATAGATTAGAAACTCTGGCATGCAAATATGTTCAGTAAGACAAGATTATGTCACCCACAGTTTCCATTCAACAGAAATATTCTTGTTGCATTAATTATGTATCAATGTTATGCAAAAATGACATTGAGCAATACAGGCTCATTTGGGCCTCAGGTTTTAATCTGAAAAAAAAACTTAATTTAATAGCTATACTTTGATAAAGAGATCAATTTGTCATGAAGGTTTAGTTTGTGATTAAATGTAAGCAGAATATCAGGTATACATGTTATTCAGAGTCATAGGACTTTGACTGTCAGATTTAAGTTTTTTCACATGTTGTACCATAACTTAAATGTGTATCCTTGGATTGATTTAATGGAAATTTTACATAATTATTGGACTGGTGAAAGTAAGCTGCTTTTCGAGTTTAAAATATTTTGAATTGTTATTTTAGAATAATTGGGACTTTAACTGTCAGAAAAATAAAAGGCAAAATGCACTAGCTCTGGTATGCTTGGAACAAATTACTACAAACTAAACAGTGTGTTTTGGATTGGTAAATGTAGACTAGATTATTAATTTGAAAACCCCAGAGGTTTGATGGGGTTGGTGTTGCTCCATTTTTGTCTCTCCATTACTAGGGGATTACTATCTGGTGGCGGCGATGATAAGTATTTATGTAAAGCTATATATTTCAAAAGGTAGAAGACAATGGATGCTTTGTACCTTGTATACAGATAACTTATGTTACACAGTCTTTCACATGTTTATTGTCATTGATCTCATTTTCATGGTTCAGTGACTGCTTGAAAAAAAGACATTTTTTTTGTCATGTGACTTTCTCACTTATTATGAGTAATAGTAATAGGATAACTATATTTGGTATATGGGTTCATGTCTGTCAGACAGGGTTCACCTGACCTCAAACTCATTACATGGATCAGTGATCAAGGTTAAAGTTATGTGATTAGGTCCGTTTCTCAGATACTATAAGCAATAGGTCAACTATATGTAGTGTATGGAATGATTGTAAGGGGTACATGTCAGTCTGGCAAGTTTCATCTGACTTTGACCTCTTTTTCATGGTTCATTGGTCAATGTTAAGTTTCTGTGTTTAAGTCTGTGTTTCAAGTGCTATAAGCAATAAGTCAGTTATATTTGGTGTATGGAATAATTGTATGGTGAACATGCGTGTCTCTGGCAGGTATTATCTGACTTTGACCTCATTTTCATGGTTCATTGGCCAATGATACGTTTTCATGATTTTTTTTTTATAATCTATTTTTTTTATTCATCATGGATTGACAGGCATTTACATATATTATCTATAGTGGCACATAATAAAACCTTTTCGTGATTTTGCCAGTTTATCAGATACTTAAAGCAACAGGTCAACTATATTTGGTGTATGGAATGATTGGAAAGTAAACATGTCTGTCTGGCCTTGTTCATCTGACCATGACCTCATTATCATAGATAATTGATAATGTTTAGTTTATGTGATACTTGTAGTAAATCCTTCATGTTACAGATCTAGACTTTCAACATAAATTCAAAGATAAGTAAAACAGGCTCATTTCAGGGCCTTTTATAGCTGACTGTGCGGTCTGGGCTTTGCTCATTGTTGAAGGCCGTACAGTGACCTATAGTTGCTAATTTCTGTGTCATTTGGTCTCTTGTGGAGAGTTGTCTCATTGGCAATCATACCACATCTTCTTTTTTAAATAGACATTTCAGCGTGTGCACTCTTGTTTATATCTATTTCTAGGTAGTGTTTTGTGGACTTGATGGTCTTTTCATCATTTTTAAAGGCAGTGCTTTAATGCCTTTCTAGTTGCCGGGTTAATCCTTCCTTCCGCGATATCCAACTTATCTACGTGGGGGGTCATTAGACTCCAAGTAGATCCGGAAATGTTGAATTCTCTCCTCTTCTTATTGCGATATAAAATGTTTTTTGTTTCATTTCATTTACATTGGGAAATAGAGAAACGATCATTGTGTTTTGTTAGTTTTAAAAACTTTTGATATATTAGTATTTTACATTATAAGCAGTCAACCGATTGACAAACTAGAATTATTTGAATTCCGTGTGGAAAGAGCTCGGGTTAATTTCGAGTGTTATCTGCAATCTAGATGTTTATAAATCATTTCAGTCGTTGATATAATAATTAAAGGTCGACTGAACATGAATTTTATCATACAATTTAGGCGCATTTCTGTTTATGCACGTGAACCCGTCTAACGTTATTTTCGCAGTTATATATAGTAGCAAATTATCGTTCCTGAATAGGTGGCGCCGTGGTAGCGGATCCTGTTCCTCTTCTTCCGGTTTCTGCACTGTACAACTATTTCAGTTATATTTTTAATTAACGATGCCAAATACTTGTTGTTGTGTACCTGGATGTCATTTAAGAGGAGGACATGCATTTCCAAATGACTTAAAAAGAAGGAAAAGTTGGATCAACGCCATGGCCCATACGCAGATTGGACGAGAACACGATGATATCGTGGAGTCCATCTCAATCAGCTGTTGTTTGCAAGGCACGTTTTACTGAAAAAGACTACGTGCAGGAAACTATTCATGGTAAAACTCTATTTTCTTTGTGAAATATATAGTTATATATGTAATCGCCATGCGAATAAACCAAAGTCTGTTTACAACCGCAATTATCGTTTTAGAATAAAAGGGGGTGGGTAATTCAAGACGTCATAATTTTTTGGATTACGATTCAATGTGATCTGTTTGAGATTTTTTGGTGATTGCTACAATTATAATGATTTCTTACAAGAGGTATATCATACTGAGAATTATTTTAGCAGTAATTATGCTAATGTAGTAATGACAGGAATGCATAAGCTATGCCTCGTAGACTTTCTTGAAAAATATCAATGACAATGTTAACAGGAACAAAACAATGACATGCCCTCATCTATATTATAGTTATTTAGGTACAAACAATGTACATTTGTTGCATAAGTCTCTCATTGTTTGTCCTTTGGATTTACATAACATACATTGAATCAGGCAAACATAGTTTTATCCAGATTGTAATGAATAAATCTAGTTAATATTTCGCCAGGTAGTACAAAGTATACATTGCTAATGGAAGTTCATTTAATTATAAAAAAACTAATGTTTTATAACCTTTTTCAGGGCGCAAACCCACCATACAGAGACTTAAGTCTACTGCAATTCCCAGCCTATTTTCCTGGACCAAGCAAGAGACTGAATCGTCCGCAAAAAGAAAAATCAGGGCAGTTTCCTGTGAAAACAAAAGAACTAAACTTGATGAATATTGTAGTAGAAATCTAGAGGAAAGTTTTGATTGTAAAGTTGGTTTTCCTGAAGAAGTCATTCATACTGCAGAAAGGATTTATGACTGTCCACCACCAACTGCCGAGCTAATGTTGAGCTTCACAGATGGAATTACGCAAACACCATCAATGCCTATGTTTTCAGCAGAGAATTTTGAAATGAAGACACGTGACACAGCCATGCATTTTTATACCGGTTTAGAGTTGTATACTAAATTTTTATTTGTTTTGACCACACTTGGTCCAGCAGCACATTGTTTGAGATACATATATTTTCAAATTGATAGGGTGTCAGTTGAAAATCAGTTTTTTTATGACTTTGATAAATTGAGGCATCATACAACCAACTTTGAACTGTCTAGATTCTAGATTGAATCTAGTGTTAAGAATATTGTGTATACATGGATTGTTTTTGTGTCTAAACAGTGGTGTGAGGCTAACACTTGGCCATCTAGTGGTTTAGTCAGGTATTTTTCACCATGAGCAATTAAAGTTTCCTACGACTTGGATTATTATTGACAGCACAGATTATCCCGTGATAAAACCTAAAGCTCCTAGAGCTCAGGCAACCTTTTCATCAAATAAAAACAGAAACACTGAAAATTCTTGAATGTTCGACACCTGGTGGTTTAGTCAACTATGTCTCTATGTCACATAGAGCGAATTATTGGACTTGGCAAAACATACAAAATTCTAATAAATCCTATGAATGGAACTGAAACAAAACTTTCATCTGAAATAACATTTAGTTGTTTTATGTTGTGTAATTTTAGAACTTGTATTGTGCCAAAGGATGCATAAATAAAAGTGATGCAATGAATTTTGTTCTGATATATATATATTTACAATTACATGCACATGTAAATTGTAATGCATATAAAAATAAGGAGATGTGGTATGATATTCAGTGAGTTTATCAAACTAAAGTGCGTAAGAAATGGGTTTAAGCAGTTACAGGTGTTACTGTCACCGTACAATCTCCAACAATGAGAAAAACTTGTACCATGTAAAAAATTTCAGAGATCTTACAACTAAGTTTTGTTGTCTCACCTTGACTTTGGTGAATTTTTTATATCTGTTGATGTAAATATAAAAAAGAAGATGTGGTATGATTGCCAATGAGACAACTCTCCACACATGCACAAGAGACCAAATGATTTGGTCTCTTGTGCATGTGTGGAGAGTTGTCTCATTGGCAATCATACCACATGAAATGACACAGAAATTAACAGCTATAGGTCACAGTACGGCCTTCAACAATGAGCAAAGCCCATACCGCACAGTCAGCTATAAAAGGCCCAGAAATGACAATGTAAAACAATTCAAACAAGAAAACTAACGGCCTATTTTATGTAAAAAAATGAACAAATATAACAAATATGCAACACATAAACAAACGACAACCACTGAATTACACTTTTATAGGCTGCTGACTTGGGACAGGCACATACATGTACATACAGAATGTGGCGGGCTTAAACATGTTAGCGGGATCCCAACCCTCCCCCTAACCTGGGACAGTGGTGTAACAGTACAATATAAGAAAGAACTATAAAAATCAGTTGAAAGAGGCTAAACTCATCAGATGGATAAATACAAATACAAGTGGACGTGGTCAGGTAGTTGTACATCCAAACAACAAAAAGACACTAAGTACAAATCTGAGAGTACTCGCAGTTACTGACAGCTAGTTCAAAGCCACTAACAACTGATAAAAAAATCTTGCATCTAAGACTAAATTATCAATCCGTAAGCTCCCTTTAGAATTTTATAAATTTTAGATTTTACATTTCTGAGTTATGGGGTTTTATTCATTAAAAAAGGGGGGATTTTCCAGTTTTTGGACAACAACTCAAAAATGCTTTAAGCAGTTCACATGAAACTTTGGTGAATTATTTATAGCTATTGATGTAATCTCCCTATTGATTTTCATAAATTTCAAATATGACATTGAGAAGAAATTGAACTTTATTTGTTCATAGTCTGGCAACAGATTTATTAAGTATTGCACAACAGCACAGTGTATTGCACAACAGCAAGAAATCTTTAATTGAATATAAATTCAATTCATATAACCAATTTCAAGTTCATTGACTACATTTATTCAGAAACTATAATATGTCAAATATTTAATTACAATCCAAATTCAGACCTGTATCAAGCTTGAATATTGTGTCCATTTTTGCCCCAGCTGTTCAGGGTAGTACCTCTGCGGGTGTATCCAGCTGCGCTCAGCGAATCAGTTTATTTCTTAATTAAGAACTCCTTTTTATACGACCGCAAAAAAAATTTTGTGGTCGTATATTGGTATGACGTTGGCGTCGTCGTCGTCCGAAGACACATTGGTTTTCGCACTCTAACTTTAGTTTAAGTGAATGGATCTCAATGAAATTTTGAAATAAGGTTCATAACCACAAAGGGAAAGTGGGGATTGATTTTGGGGGTTATGGTACCAACAGTTAAGGAATTAGGGGCCAAAAATAAGCATTTTTGTAACTTCCAGACATAACTTGTGTGTAAGTGTATGGATCTCTCTGACATTGTACCACAAGGTTCCATATCACAAAGGGAATGCTGGGATTGATTTTTGGGGGTAATTGCCTCCAAATTTTAGGAATTAGGGGCCAAAAAGGGGAAAAAAACAAGCATTTTTCTAGTTTCATGACAATAACTTGTGTGCAAGTCTATGGATCTCTCTGACATTGTATCACAAGGTTCCATATCACAAAGGGAATGCTGGGATTGAATTTGGGGGTAATTGCCTCCAAATTTTAGGAATTAGGGGCCAAAAAGGGGCAAAAAACAAGCATTTTTCTAGTTTCATGGCAATAACTTGTGTGTAAGTGTATGGAACTTAATGAAATTGTACTACAAGGTTCCATATCACAAAGGGAAAGCTGGAATTGAGTTTGGGGGTAATTGCCCAAAAAGTTTAGGAATAAGGGGCCAAAAATAAGCATTTTTCTAGTTTCCAGACAATAACTTGTGTTCAAGTGTATGGATCTCTCTGAAATTGTACTGCAAGGTACCATACCACAAAGGGAATACTGGGATTGATTTTGGGGGTAATTGCCTCCAAATTGTAGGAATTAGGGGCTAAAAAGGGGAAAAAAACAAGCATTTTTCTAGTTTCATGACAATAACTTGTGTGCAAGTCTATGGATCTCTCTGACATTGTATCACATGGTTCCATATCACAAAGGGAATGCTGTGATTGATTTTGGGGGTAATTGCCTTCAAATTTTAGGAATTAGGGGCCAAAAAGGGGCAAAAAACAAGCATTTTTCTAGTTTCATGGCAATAACTTGTGTGTAAGTGTATGGATCTTTATGAAATTGTACTACAAGGTTCCATATCATAAAGGGTAAGCTGGGTTTGAGTTTGGGGGTAATTGCCCTAAACGTTTAGGAATTTGGGACCAAAAAGGGGCCAAAAAACAAGCATTTTTCTAGTTTCCAGACAATAACATGTGTTCAAGTGTATGGATCTTTATGAAATTGTACTGCAAGCTACCATACCACAAAGGGAAGGCTGGGATTGAGTTTTGGGGTGATGAATCATAAGGGGGTTTAAAAAATTTGGGGGGGGATTCTTTTTCCTTTTTTTTCTTTAAAATTTTCCATATTAAATTGGTTATTTCTGATTTATATATAAAAGCAAATAATAATTATATGGTTTGAATAGGTAAATTAAATTTTTTTAAGTATCTTAGACCACTTTCATTCTGTGTCAGAAACCTATGCTGTGTCAAATATTTAATTACAATCCAAATTCAGTGCTGAATCAAGCTTGAATGTTGTGTTCATACTTGCCCCAACTGTTCATGGTTCGACCTCTGCAGTCGTATCAAGCTGCGCCCCAGCGGAGCATTTTATTTCATTCATAAATTACTTTATGCTTGGAAATATAATTTTGCTTGGAGTTGAAAGAGTTGACATGTTGCAATGTACATTTACTCTACATAGTTCTATGGTACCAAATCAAAAGTTTATATAAAGAAAGAAGTCAAAGGTTTCCCATCATAGTTTAGTTACATACATTTTTTTTGTACCTGAGGTCGTTGAATATAGATCATTATATAAATAAGGAGATGTGTTATGATTGCCAATGAAGAAACTAAGGATTTTCTTATCCAAGGAATAGATTACCTTAGCCGTATTTGGCACAACTTTTTGGAATTTTGGGTCCTCAATGCTCTTCAACTTTGTACTTGTTTGGCTTTGTTACTATTTTGATCTGAACGTCACTGATGAGTCTTATGTAGACGAAACACACGTCTGGCGTATTAAATTATAATCCTGGTACCTTTGATAACTAATTTGACTATAAACATAGATAAAAAAGGTACAAACTGGACATAATGCACTTGTCATAAACAAGTGAGAACAATCGCCTTCATATAGTGCTCAGAATATGACATTCATAAAACTTATTCAATATCATTAGAGAACTCTAAATCTTAAATACTGAAAGCAACTTCTGATAAGTACACTGTACTATGCAAGATAATGATATAACTGGACTCAAAATACACACAACCTGTAATTAACTGCCTTTACAGCGCTTTCGTGCTTTGATTTGTTTTTTGCCATGGCGATGGCGTTGGTTGTCAGATTTTCTTCGACTTATGAGTTTTGAATGTCCATTTGGCATCTTCCGCCTCTTTTTTCTTCATGTTCTTTGTTTGGTTCAAGAGTTTACTTTAAACAGTCATATTTATATGCCCAAGGATATTCTCATACAGGTTATTCTAAAGAGACATTTTACTACTTTCTGCTTAGATGTCACCTATATCATGTATATATTCCATTTTGACCTTTTGCAAGTCATTGAAATAAGATTTTAAAAATCGAAAAGAACAGGTATATAATAATCAAATTGCAATAAACAATGATAAAGTTTAATGTTATTGATATAACATTGATATTTAGTTTAATTAGTATGTGTGGCCTACTCACACTACACACATATACATGCCAACTAAAACTTGTATCAATAGTTCCATGGATATACTGCTACTTATCTACTTATAAAGACAACTGATTTTGTTTTTGTATTTGCAGACGGGAAAAAGAAAAAGACTTTTTGGATATGGTTATGTGGAAAACAGGTAATTATTATTGTGTTTACTTAATTAAACAAAACATGTTCTAGCATGCAAGTCTCTTTCCTGTATTAGATTTTCTGACTCCAAACTTTAAAAAGACAAAAAAAAACATAGCATTTAACTTAATAGGGACCTCTATATGTCCATGCATGATAAAAGAACAACTGTTATTATTTTGTGGCAATCTAAGTTCTCTTTAAATATTTCCCTATATATATCTTTTGCCATATGGTAAACTATCTTTTGATTGTCAATTTTGTCAATAGTCAATACTCTACTGGCACAATATCAAAGTTATAGTTTAACCTGAGACACTAACAGCATGAACAAATCAAAGGAAACACATTTTTTGTTCCTTCAAAAAGCTTTATTTTGAGATTCAGTTGTCTTTAAAAATTCATTAATATACAGAAATTGGATTTGTAAAAGTTTTATAAAAGAAATAAAATGAAACATATAAAATATATGTTTAAATTAAGAATATAATTCATGCAAGCCATAGATTTGTTGGAAATTTTCACATGGCCTGGGCCATTATGTTCGAATTTTATCTGGAGCTTTATCGAGGGATAAAATCAACGAATATAACGGCCCAGGCCATGTGAAAATGATAACAAATCTATGGCTTGCATGAATAATTTCGATAATAATAGGACAAAAAACTGATGCTTAGTGGTTATCGTTTGTTGATGTGGTTCATAAGTGTTTCTCGTTTCTTATATAGATTAGTCGTTGGTTTTCCTGTTTGAATGGTTTTACACTAGTCATTTTTGGGGCCCTTTATAGCTTGCTGTTCGGTGTGAGCCAAGGCCTCATGTTGAAAGCCGTACTTTGACCTATAATGGTTTACTTTTACAAATTGTGACTTGGATGGAGAGTTGTCTCATTGGCACTCATACCACATCTTCTTGTATCTAAATACGGTAATTTTAAAAACTGAAGAGAAGGTAAGATTGCCATGTGTATGGCTGTTCAATTTACCCCTGTAAGATAGAAGCTACAAATTTCAAATAAATCTAAGGCTTGCATAAATTATTTCTCAAATAACCACCAAAAAAAATGTGTCCAATCCTTATACTTCTTAACCCAAACATTTTTATGCCCCCGCCGTAGTGGAGGGGGCATTAAGTTTTACCCTTGTCCATCTGTACGTACATCCCAAAATTGGTTTCCGTTCTTTAACTTTAGTTTGCCTCAACCAAATGTTATGAAACTTATACACAATGCTTATTACCTCAAAACACAGATCAAGTTTGAATTTTGGTGGCATCACTTTTACCGTTCTAGAGTTATGCCCCTTTACAAATGAAAAAATTGCTGAATTTTTCGTTTCCGTTCTCTTACTTTAGTTTGCCTCAACTAAATGTTATGAAACTTAAACACAATGCTTATTACCACAAAACACAGATCAAATTTGAATTTTGGTGGCATCACTTTTACCGTTCTAGAGTTATGCCCCTTTACAAATGAAAAAATTGCTGAATTTTTCTTTTCCGTTCTCTAACTTTAGTTTGCCTCAACCAAATGTTATGAAACTTATACACAATGCTTATTACCACAAAACACAGATCGAGTTTGAATTTTGGTGGCGTCACTTTTACTGCTCTAGAGTTATGCCCCTTTACAAATGGAAAGATTGCTGAATTTTTATGCTCACCAAATGTACACCAAATCTCTATGATAGAGGAAATAAAGTTATAAATATATAGAAGTCTCAGTTGGCAGTAATTTCAACTTACACGAACGGTAAGTTTAATAGAAAGCTAGTAAGTATTCTGATGTTATAAAGTAAGTTTTGTTAATCATGATGTTCTTTTCGTTTTACATGTTTAAGAAGATTGTGATTATTTAATTGATTTCAATTAAATGTATGCACATTTAAATTCCTTTCTTTTATTATATTCCCCGTTTATCACTGACTTGCCAAAGTTGTTGTTGTTTATGAATGAAACAGATCCGAAAATCAATGTTGATGGGATGTTTTACGAAATGTGGACAACTCGTCCCTGAGACAAGTCCGACCGAGTCCACTCGGACAGTCTAAAAAGACAACTCGAACCGCTTGTCAGATTTACTTAGGGTTTCATAAAATGTAAGACTAACATGTCTAGCGGAGCGATCAATCTTTCATTTGTGCATTGGGGTCTATTTAGGGGTATTTTGAGGGGCCTTACTAAGGGAGGGGTTTACTATAGAACCCTATGGGATTTTATTTTTTTTTTTCAATTTTCAAATGACTATTACTTGAAAACAGTAAGTGATAGACACACACAGTCTTCAGTAATGATAACATAGTGCAGCGGCTACAAGCATATTTCAGACGAATTGTGCACATCCTGCTACAAGCATGAAATTTGGCATAGACCTTCCTCAACTATTACTCTTTTAATTCAGATAGGGAGGCATTTAGAAAAAATGTCTCACTTCCGGTAAAATCCAAAATGGCGGACATCATACTTAAATCAACCCAATATCGAAGGCTAGTATGTGAAAAGGTGTTATTATCATGCTACTATCATAATATTTCATACAAACCTTTGTTATGTACTACTATGGATATATCATATAGATTAGATGTCTTCAAAAACACTACTTCCTGTAAAATCCAATATGGCGGATATTGTACTAAAATAAGCTTATTTTTTAGGGAGGATAATTGAAATGTGTTTTTAACGTATTGCTACTATTATATTGTGCAGGAACCTTTCTCTGGTGCTTCTCATGGATACAATATATAGGACATATGTCTTTAAAACCCCTACTTCGGGTAATATCCAATATGGCGGACATAGAAATATCAATTTTTTATTTTAATATTCAACTTTTTTCATATGTAAAAAAAAATGTTTTTTGTGCTGGTCATTAAACTTTTGGCTTTGAGTTATCCTCAAACCCACTAATTCACTTTTATGTTTTAAATGTTGTTATACAAAGTTAACACTTCCGGTAAAAAACAATATGGCGTAAATTTCAAAGATGAATCCTCAATCCATATCCTCGATGTAGAGTTTTGGATAGATTGATTAAAACAAAATGAAGTCACTAAAGTACTAAAACGTTTTTAAAATTAATACTTTTTGGCCACAAATACATGTTTATTCACAATCACTACCACAAGCACACAAAGCAGTGCACGGGAGACCCGATTTTCCACATTTAAAACGACTGCGACATCCTTTCTTACATCCACAATATACAAGCTCCTTACAAGATGATGAGGCATCACAAAGAACTTTTTGGAAAGGGTTCCCATGGATCCTCATTGTCCCTTCGCTATCCATTAGCGCCTGGACTTGGTAGCATAAGAGCCAATTCCAAGCTCGTCCTCCTAAACACCCGCCTTAGTATATTGCACGTTTTACATGCTGGAAAAGACTAGACCAAGTTGATAATAGCCTCAATTATCCTTCCCTTTTGCGCAAATAGTTATTTTCTTGCTTCAATTAACCCCATCTGATAAGTTTGTGCGATCTTACAGTAAAACCACGGTGATTTAGGCTGATCAATCATCATTCTTAATGTTAAAGTCACATCTTCAAATGCCATCAATTTCTCCCACGCAGTCTTTTTCCTTTTCAAGCAAACAGAGAACCGTATCACAACTGGTAAAGACATGGATCACAGTTAGTGTGTGTGATCACTTATTGCCTAGTGCATTTGAAAGGTCATGGATAGGTATTTATCAAAATCTTTTTGCTCTCCCAAACACAAGCCATAGTTTGTCTACCCCTATGTCACGGAATAGCGAAACAGTAATGATAGCAGACTAGTCTGTGTTTCACTGCACCAGACACATGCACCATGATTCTAGTGACAGCCTCATTAGATGTTTAATCAATCTATCCAAAACTCTACATCGAGGATACAGATTCAGGACTCAACTCTGAAATTTACGCCATATCATTTTTTTACCGGAAGTGTTAACTTTGTATTAAAACATTTTAAACATAATAGTGAATTAGTAGTTTGAAGATAACTTCAAGCCAAAAGTTTAGTTACCGGCACAAAAAACACTTTTTTTACATTTTGAAAAAAGTTGAATATTAAAATTAAAAGTTGATATTTCTATGTCTGCCAGAGAAAGGTTCCTGCACCTGCACAATATAATGATAGTAGCAATACATTAAAACACATTTCAATTACCCTCCCTAAAAATACGCTTGTTATAGTACAATCTCTTTTAAAGTCATATAATCTATATATTATATCCAAAAGTAGCACATAACCAAGGTTTGTGCCGAATATAATGATAGTACCATGGTTATAACACCTTTTCACATATCAGCCTTCGATATTGGGCTGATTTAAGTATAATGTCTGCCATATTGAATTTTACCGGAAGTGGTGCATTTTTTCAGATGCCTCCCTATCTGAAATCAAGGAGTAATACTAGATGAAACTTTGTGCCCAGTTTCATGCTTGTAGCAGGATGTGCACAATTTTTCACGAAGCCGCCGTACTAACAGGACAATAGAACAAATAAAATAAAATATAGGGTGTGTCCCTGGGGTCATCCCACCCCCTTCAATTTGAAAATGTGCTTTTATCTTGTAAACGGTCGCGATTCCCACCCCTCAACCATATATTCATGTATGGGACAAGATAACAAATCAAATGAAATATAGGGGAGTCCCTGGTGACACCCTACCCCCTTCTTTGTTAAAACTTGTAAACGGTTGAGATCCCCACCCTTACACCACATATATTCTGGTATGGGCCGGGACAATAAATCAAATCAAATGAAATAAAGGGTGAGTCCCCTAGGTGTCACATATGCATATCACTTTACTAGACCTAACCAATTTGTACTGGACATTGCCCAATGTCAGGCGACCATGGGAATGACGATGTATGGGAGCTCTGTTTGAAGACTTTGTAATGGCATCCTGTTACAATTATTTCTTGTTTATTATAAAATTTAGTTGATGCAAAAATAAGTCTAGGTTAATTGAATTTACTTCAATTATTTTTTGAATTATTTCTGGGCCTTTAAATTTTTTTAT